TTTTCGACTGGGCACAGTGGCTCATGCCTGTAATCCTAGCATTCCAGGAGGCCAAGGTGGGAGGATCACTTGAGGTCAGGAGTTCCAGACCAGCCTGAGCAAGAGCGAGAGAGACCCCCATCTCTACTAAAAATACAAAAATTAGCCAGGAGTCATGGCACGTGCCTGTAGTCCCAAGAACTGGGGAGTCCGAGGCAGGAGCATTGCTTGAGCACAGGAGTTTGAGGTTGCAGTGAACTATGATGATGCCACTGCACTCCAGCCTGGGTGATAAAGCAAGACCCTATGTTGAAAAAAAATTTTTTTTAATTAGAAAAAAAAAGGAATTATAATTTCAAAAATACAGCCAAACATAAAAACAAACAATGCTGAACATACTTAATCCTTTGCAATGTGACTCAAAGCACATTATTAGATGCCTCAGTGCCTCGGGCGATGATTATGACTATAAATTACTTTAGAGAACATTAGACATGGGCCTGGCAGCCTGGAGTGAGTCATTGTCAGTTGCTTAAAAAACAAAACCTCTGATATATACCTGTTTAGTAGCCACTGTTCTCTTTTTAAAGAAATCTGGTGCAGAAACTAAACTCAAAAACAGACATGGACTACAAAGCCCTAAATGCCCACTTATCTCCACTTTGCAGTTGTTTGGGCTTCAAATAAAAGTTTCTCTATGAAGCACCTGGGTGCTGGAGGGGGCCAGGTGAGGACGCAGTGGGGAATGACGAGTGAGTCAGGCTGGGGGCTGAGGGAGGAGGACACGTGGAGGCGGAGACCTTCAGGGATGGGAGGTGTCTCAGAAGTTGGGTGCAGGCCATGAAACAGCAGCTCTGGAAGTCCCTAATTCCTCCAAAGGGCATCCACACTCATAATGTGGCTCTCAAAAGTGGACAGAGGGATGACCCTGGTGGCCGTTCCAGGGACGTGTGAGGTTCAAGGTGCTCCTTGATCGTCACTCAGTTCCACACACAGTCTTCACAGCATCACTCAGGAGAGTTCAGCTCCCTCTGTGTCCCATGCAGTGTCCAAAGCTTCTACCCAGGGCCAGTTTAGAGTGTTTCCTCCAAAGGCAGAGACGGATTGAGTCGGGACAAAGGCTGGGCCCAGCAGTGGGGGACAAACACTGTAGCCTACGGGGGTGGTGAGACACTCCTAGCCCCCCCAACATGCCAGCACCCCTGGCCCAGTCCCGAGCAGACAATAAGAGATGAGTGGAAACCTCAGGTTAAAAATACCCAGTCTTGTTGTAAGAGAAATAAGAACAGGAAGGAAGTGTGGGGAGGCAGGGCAGAATAGAGAAAAAGCTCCGGAGAAGGAGCATGAGATGTCATGAATGGCCGGAAGCTGAGCAGGTAGAGCAGGTGGAGGCCCTTCAGGTGCCTGTGGGGTTTGTAGGCAGGAGAAGGGGGCATGGTGGGCTACGCCTTGTTCGGCATGGTTCAGGCAGTTCCTCCCAGAGAAATGATTTTGGGCCACTAAGACCAAGATTCAGATCCCTGAAAAGAGTCTTGGACCAGGCTGGGTGCAGTGGCTCATGCCTATAATCCTAGCACTCCAGAAGGCCGAGGCAGGAGGATTGCTCAAGGTTAGGAGTTCAAAACCAGCCTGGGCAAGAGTGAGACCCCATCTCCACTAAAAATAGAAAAATTAGCCAGATGTGGTGGCGAGTGCCTGTAGTCCCAGCTGCCTTTAGTCCCTGAGGCAGGAGGATCGCCTGAGCCTAGGAGTTTGAGGTTGCTGTGAGCTAGGCTCTAGCCCAGGCAACAGACTGAGATTCTATCTTGAAAAAAAAAAAAAAAAAAGAGTCTTGGGCCAGGATATGAGTGGACAAGCAGAGGGCCTTCTCCAAGGACAGTAGCTAGCACTCTGGGAGGCTGAGGAGGGTGGATCGCTCAAGGTCAGGAGTTCAAAACCAGCCTGAGCAAGAGCGAGACCCTGTCTCTACTAAAAATAGAAAGAAATTAATTGGCCAACTAAAAATATATAGAAAAAATTAGCCGGGCATGGTGGCGCATGCCTGTAGTCCCAGCTACTCAGGAGGCTGAGGCAGGAGGATCACTTAAGCCCAGGAGTTTGAGGTGGCTGTGAGCTAGGCTGACGCCACGGCACTCTAGCCCAGGCAAGAGAATGAGACTCTGACTCAAATAATAAAAAAAAAGGACAGTGGGACATGAGTGCCCTGAGGGGAGCCTGTCATGTATGTCGTTCTCTCTGGGCAGTAGTGGGGGAGAAGAGCCACCTGAACCACCACTCACAGCCCTGGGCAAGGTGGAAAGAGTGCTCAGCTGGCCTTGGGAACAGCAGCCACTCTTGTTGAGGGAAAGAACAAAGAGAAGGCTGAGAGAGGCAGCCTAGCAGTGACTCCACAGCACAGAGGTTAAGGTCAGGCCTCTGGATGGAGGATGCCTGCATTTGACTCCTGACTCAGTCACTTATTAGCGGTGTGACCTTGGACTAACCGCAACTTTTCTGTGCTTCAGTTTCATCTGTACAATGGGGATGACAACAGGTGCCCTCATAGCACAGCGGCTGCTACAACAGTGTCTGGTCCCTAGTAAGTGCTTTTTAAGTGTTAGCTGTTGGGCCAGGGGGAGAGGACAGTGCCAGCGATGGGTGGGAAAGATATTCCTCACACCTCATGTCAATGGAACAGCCCTTCCCAGAGAGGCTGGCACCACACCAGGCCAGGAGGCAACAGGGGAAAGGAGGGTGCGGAGATACATAAGACATGGGCCTAAGTGAGGAGCCAATATCCTGTGGAGGATACAAACAGCTAAGCGATCACACGTCAGCATAATGCAAGAGTTTCCTACCAGTGCTGGGGTGCAGAGAGTGGAGTAACTTTCTATGCCTTCGGTGTTTGGACGGGGCCAGGCCAGCTGGTCTTGGAAGTTAAGCAGGCTGAGAAGGGACATGAAAAGACAGTCCAAGAAAGAGGAAACATGCTATACAAAGTGGCAACTCCTGGATGGTCGGTTGGGGCTTAAAAGTGGGGAAGGGTGGCTGGGGGTGACCAGCTTGGAACTCTGCCAAAAGTTTGCACTTTATCCTGTGGGCTTGAGGCAAATGGAGAGACAAGGAAGGGGGAAAACCGGAATCAGATTTGTGTATTTGAAAGATTTCTTTGGCAGAAACATGGAGGGTAAATGAGAGGGGAGGAGAAGGGTGGCAGGGAGGTCCACTGGTTAAGTGGTCCCAGCAGTGCTCGGGGCAAGAGAAAAGGAGGAGAGGGACCTTAGAGGACAAAGGGAAGGACTCTTAGAAAGTGGATTAATCTGGAAGGATGACAAAGAGGAAGGAGTAGAGAACTGGGCATTTAATGGTGTCCTTAATGGAGATCAGGAATAAAGGCAAAGAAGTGGGTTTACAAAGAAAATTTTAGAAAGGTGAGCTTGAGGGCTGGGTGCTCATGTCTGTAATCCGAGCACTTTGGAAGGCCAAGGCAAGAGGATTGCTTTAAGCCAGGAGTTCAAGACCAACCTGAGCAAAAGGGAGACCCTGTCTCTACCAAAAATAGAAAAAATTAGCCAGCTGTGGTGGTGTGCACCTGTACACAGCTACTCGGGAGGCTGAGGCAGGAAGATCGCTTGAGCCCAGGAATTTGAGGTTGCAGTGAGCTATGATGATGCCGCTGCACTCTAACCTGGGTGACAGAGCAAGACCCTGTCTGAAAGAAAGAAGGAAAGAAAGAAAGGAAGAAAGACAGCTAGGTAGGTGAGCTTGAGGTGGGTGTTGGAGATGACAGAATGGCGGGTACAGCCATGGGAATGAGGTGGCCACAGGCCGAAGAAAATCCCTCCAGACTGACTTGAGCAAGCCTTACCATGTGCTAATATATGGGTGGGCACTGAGTCATGTGCCATGTGTGGCACGTGGAGTCTCCTGTGGGAGGCGGGGGAGGTGCAGCAGAGGGGCTGGCAGGGCTCCCTCGCTCTTTAGTTCATGGCCAGAAGATCGCGAAGCATCACAGTTTACATTGCCTGCTTAAATGACATTACAGATGATATTATCTAACCTGGACTAAATTAACCTTTACAAAATGGACAAGGGGCTTAAAAAGATTCTGGCAAAAAACCTGCAGATTTAGTTAAGACCATCATAATTCAGCAAGCACTAGGACACAAGAAAATGACAATGCAAGCCCTGCTCCTCCTGGGAACTTTTTGTCCACCCCATTATGAGGCTAACACAGTGACAATTTAATCAGGTCTAACATGAAGACAGCCCCCCCAATTTTTTTTATTTTAATGGATACATAATAGTTGTATGTATTTATGGAGTACTGTGATATTTTGACACAAATATAGAATGTGTAATAATCAAATCTGGGTAATTGGGATATCCATCATCTCAAACATTTATCATTTATGTTGAAAACATTCCAAATTTTCTCTTCTAGCTATTTTGAGATATATAATAAATTATTGTTAACTATAGTTGTCCTATTGTGCTATCCAACACTAGATATTATTCTATCCACCAAAAATTTTTTTTTTTCTGAGACAGAGTCTCACTTTGTTGCCCAGGCTAGAGTGAGTGCCGTGGCGTCAGCCTAGCTCACAGCAACCTCAAACTCCTGGGCTCAAGCGATCCTCCTGCCTCAGCCTCCCAAGTAGCTGGGAATACAGGCATGTGCCACCATGCCCGGCTAATTTTTTCTATATATATTAGTTGGCCAATTAATTTCTTTCTATTTTATAGTAGAGACGGGGTCTCGCTCTTGCTCAGGCTGGTTTCGAACTCCTGACCTTGAGCAATCCACCTGCCTCGGCCTCCCAGAGTGCTAGGATTACAGGTGTGAGCCACTGCGCCCGGCCCCCAATTTTTTTTTAATTTGTAATTGTCGAGGAGACTATTTGAAATGTGAACTTCCATGTCTACCACTGTTAAAAATGACCCTCATCCCAAATATATGTTGTGTCTTGAGATACTAATGACAGTGAGTTGTGTACACAATTTATAAATAATTGAACAGATATTAAGAGTGCATGCTCAAACTTTATTACTGATGAGATCTAACGTCTCAGTTTGGGGGCTGTCAATCTTAGGTAGGATCTGATTTGGGCAAATATTCTCCAGCCATGGGTTTCGGGTCCTGGGGAATGAACCGGTTCCTTGCTTTATCAGTTGTCCACATCTGAAGTCCTATGTGTTGCTCTTACCTCTAAGAACAAAGGATGCTTGTGTTGTAGAGCTTGGCCGAACAGCTCACGTGTCTTTCGTCGTCTTGGTCCTTCTGGACATGAGGGGAGGAGTAACCCAGCTCCCTGGAGAAAAGCCTTAAGTAAACACAAGGTGTTGCCGAAGTTATTGTTACTGTTACTGACAACAGTGACAGGTAGCAACATTGTGTGCCGCTTCAAGGAGTTCTAGCGAGGATCCAGGTGAGAGGTTTCTGATCTTCTCACACCACGTGGGTCCAGGGACCTTCTGGCCTATGTGTCCTATGAGGCATGAAGGCTGCCAGGGCTCAGAAAAACTGAAGGCCCCAAAGGGTGTGACTGTCATTCTCTAAGGAGGGAAGAGCCCATTTCCTACTAGACAGAGTCCAAGGTCTAAATGGACCAGTGACGGATTGAAGAAGGCATTCCAGGCTGGGCGCGGTGGCTCACCCCTGTAATCCTACCACTCTGGGAGGCCGAGGTGGGTGGATCGCTCAACATCAGGAGTTCGAAACCAGCCTGAGGAAGAGCAAGACCCCGTCTCTACTAAAAATAGAAAGAAATTAATTGGCCAACTAAAAATATAGAAAAAATTAGCCAGGCATGGAGGTGCATGCCTGTAGTCCCAGCTACTCGGGAGGCTGAGGCAGATGGATAGCTTGAGCCCAGGAGTTTGAGGTTGCTGTGAGCTAGGCTGATGCCACGGCACTCTAGCCCGGGCAAGAGAGTAAGACTCTGAGTCAAAAAAAAAAAAAAAAAAAAGAAACAAAGAAGGCATTCCGTTTGCCAGCCCAGGAGCCCAGGCCAGGGAGCTGAGGCCTTCCCTGAAACTTAGGTGCCTGCATCCCACCTGCAGGAGAAGCTAGGCCAGGAGTGAGGGGTATTCCTGGCCTTTGCCCTCTCGCCCTCACTGTCTCTCTCTCAAGCCAAGACCACACACCCATAAAATTTTATATTAAAACAATTATTTTTACTTGTTGAAGCACATTTAGGGGCGGGGAGTTAATAGAGTGGGGATAATTGTCCTCTGCGATGTATGTGTAACATTTACTGGGCCCATGTTTTATGCGCAAGGTGGGCACCATGGAGACACAAAGGAGAACGAGATGTCAGGATGCTGATGTCCGGGAGCAAGTTAAGATGTGCACATAACCACAGTGTGAGGCAGGGACAGGGCCTTGGAGGAGCTGCATAAAGAGAAACCAGCATTCCAAGGTGGGATGAGGGTCAGATGCAGTACTAGAGGAGATGACCTCTGGCCTGGGCCTTGAAGGCTAGGAGGGTCTCACCAGGTGGGGACAGAGGGAGTGACATTCCCAAAGAAACAACAAAGCTCCCCAGTGGAAAAGTATGGGCTATGTATGACCCACAGTGAGCCACGCAGAGGGGAAAGGGGAAGGGGGGGTTTGGAAAGGTGTTAGAACCAGATTTTCAACAGCCACGTGCTGGACTACACAATCCAGAGTTTATCTTCACTGAGTAGTGAGGAGCCTTGCAAAGTTTTTGGGCAGGTGAGGCAGTGAACCCAAAGAAGTTAAAAACAAAACAAAATGTGTGCAGGGTCCTATAGCGAGTTAGTTTGCAGTCCAGCCCAGACTTGAACCCCGATTTAGACTGACACAAGCCAGGCTCCTGGCCCTTGCACTGTCCAGACACAGACAGGCGGGTGGAAAAGCGCTCCAGGCCAGGGGTGAGCAGACTGCTTCTCTGGGAAACCCTGCAGGCCAAGTTTCCAAGCAACAAGGCACCCTACCCTGCCTGGCTTCGGTCTTGTTGGGCTGAGTCTTCCCATGGAAGCTGGGTGGTGGACGAGCCAGTGGATGGACTGCAATGCTTGGGAACCCAAATGGGTTGGGCTGGGAATGGCAGAGTGTGGGATCGCTGCAATAAAATGAAGGCAGAGGAGCCCGTGCAGTGTCCTGGGGTGTGAGGCACACAGGGCGTGGGGCCTTGCATTCCTGGATGGTTAAGACGCCACAGCTGATTACTATCATTATTATTCCCGCCTTGGCTTCTCTGAGCTTTTATCCTGCAGGACCTTGCCTTGCTAGGCCGGCGTCACCAACTAGCAAGGGGTGGGGAGGGCGGCTCCTGGCTGCGAAGGAACATGACATGAGCACGGGTTTTTCCCCTAATGCCGAGCTCCTTCCTAACCCTGGATGCATGGGCAGAATTTCTCGAGGGAAACTGAGGCACAGAGGTCCTGAACGATGTGGCCGAGGTCCTGTAGCAGAAGCTCCCCCCACCCCACCCCACTACCCCCTACTCACTAGGCCATGCTTTCTCATCCTCCCTCAGCAGAGGCAGATCTTGTCGGCCGGGAGGGGAGCCAGGGAAGGTGCGGATTCTAGAAGAGAGAGCTGGGCTGGGGCCAGGACAGCAGAACGGGTACCCTCTGTGCCAGGTGCTGCGGGCATCATGAGGTCAGGCTCCCGGTTTCGCGTCTCTTTGGAAGGTTCTGCCATATGGGTGGATCTTCCCCAAGCCCCCGAGGGAGGGCAACACTGCAGACATGCAAAGGCTCCCTCCCTCCCGTCGGAGGCCAGATTCAGCATCCCGGGATAGGAAGAGCCTGGTTCTCATAAAGATGGACCAGGCCTGGGGCAGAGGGCCAGACGATGGCTCAGAGACAGGGAGAGGTGTGTGTGTGTGTGATGTGTGCATGTCTGCTAACACCAGGCTTCCAGCAGCGACATGTCCCTGCCTGCTGAGATGAGATGAAAGGGAGAAAGACTAGCAGGGAATGTGAACGACCGTCTGAGAGCTGGCTGAGGGGCTGAGTGGAATCCTACAGGATCCTGGGACCCAGAGGAGGAGGAAGGGAATGGCCCTTCAGGCTGCACCAGTTGCCTTAGTCACCACCTGCTGTCCATGTAGAGAGCAGCAATCTTTGGGAACATCTGGCTTTAAGGAGAGGTACGGCAACACAGATGGGTAGGTTGAGGAAGTTGGAGGAGAGAGGACAATAGCGAGGCTTCAGCTGCCTCTCCAAGCTCTCACATCACCCGTGCCTGCCAGAGCCGGCCCACCAGCTGAGCATTCTCGCATCAGGCATTTATTGAGCAGCTACCACGTGCAAGGCACTCTGCCTACAGCTGTGGGTGCAGACGCATAAGACAAGTCCTCTGCCCTCAGGAGGCTCTCTTTGGAGAAAGAGAAATTCCTTTTTGGTTTCACTGCTACCTTCCACACCACACAACACCAGACTCCTGGGCCTCTGGTCTTGTTGAGTGAGTTCCCAGGAGACCGGTTCCTCCCTGGCCATTTTCTGCCTTGACTACACTGGTCCCTGCCTCTGCCATTACATTGTCTGTCAGCTCTCTGAGGTCACATGGGAGCAGCATGCACTAGAATTCTTGCTGGTTTCTTGACACACACCAGCCGAAATATTCAGCCCTCAGCCACAAAAGTTGTCTCTTGAACTTATGCTGTGATTAGGCCACTCTAAGACTCATGGTTCTCCTGGGATCCTGCTCGTCTTCCAGACCAAACACACCTTTCAGCCTGTAGAGCCTCCACCCACTTGTCCTTTCCTATGGGTGACCTGAAGACCCTGCAGTGGCTCCCTCTTGCATGTACAGTGTGCACTTTGGGGGGCTATTTGCCAGGGCTCGCCCACATGTTTCTAGCTCTTATCATTACCCAACAGTGCCCCTTCCTTCCCCAGCACACAGGCATTTGTCATGGAACTCTCACATCCCAACAAGGGTGAAGACCTTTTTAAGGCAATCATTTCAACGTTTATAGTTGATTTACTCAACACACATTTACGGATTAACTGCTCTGTGTGAGGCACTGTGACAGGTACTAAGACAGTTTTGATGGTGACTAGGACAGACGTGCCTCCTGCCCCCAGGGAGCCCATGAACTAACAGGGATGGCAGACACTACAGATGAAAATAGGTTGTGGCGAGTGGTCAGATGGGACAAGAGTCGTGGAGTCGCTGAAAGTCCTGCTGAGCTGCACTCCACTGTGAACTCATAGGCCTCTTCCTTCCTGCCTGGGTTCTTCACAGAGCAGAGTGCACCTTACTGGGGAGGAAGGCGGGATGTTCCAACAGGACGCCCGCATGGCCAGACCTAAAAGCCACTGGCCCCCGATCTCTTCTCTCCCCACAGGTGAGGAGGTCTCTCTCTTCCCAAATCCAGTGTCCTCTAGAAGTGACACAGGCAGCAGGGACAGAATTAAAAGTCTACGAATGCCATGTAAAAACAAGCCCTTTGGACAATGAAGCTGTGAAGGGCTGCAAAAGGCACTTCACAATGTCACCGTGTTAGGAAATACCGGCTTCCGCCACCTCTCCAGAAAGCAGCCATCTTCTTGGGAGTGAGATCCACTCTCCTCTGTTCTGATGAAATTGCCCGCGACAGGTGGTGCTCCGTGCTTTTGAAACTTGTCCGTGAATGAAGGCTCTAACTCCTCGTGCAGTTGTTTGATGTTGAGTCAGTGTTTAATGACTATAATTGGCAGAAAAGTCTCCCAACTGCTTAACCAAGATGCAAATTCCACTCTCTTGCTTGTCAACTACCTCTGCACAATGGAAAAAACATGGTGAAGTTATAAGGCATTCTCTACTCTGAATGCTCCATAAAAACGCCTATAAAACTGACACAAGTAAGAAGCCTTTGGATCTGATGACCCTCATTCTGTCTAAGTGTCAACATCCCATATGGACATTTTTTAGACGATGTTGCAGTCAGGGAGAGAGGAAGACAGAGGGCTTGGACGGGCTTGAACACAAACCTCCCTGTGCTTCCCCAGGGCCCTCTCCTGAGTGGGGTTTTCTCCCCACTTGGTGCCTCTGTCACCAGGATACATTGGGCCGGGGGTAACATTCCTGGTCATGGAACTGGGATGGATCCTGAGAATGCGGGTGCAGAGGGAAGTCCATGAAGCACAGAGGAAAGGCATTTCTTTCTAGGTGGCCTGGTAAAAGGGAAATGACTTGAGCTCTAAAGTTGGAAAGGCCGTACAGAAAATGTTCAAAGGCTGCTGCCCGAAGTTTGTGGGAGTTTCCTAAATCAAAGAGCAAATCCCTACATGGGAGAAGAATCTTTCTTTTCCTTCCTTCCTTCCTTCCTTCCTTCCTTCCTTCCTTCCTTCCTTCCTTCCTTCCTTCTCTCCCTTCTTCCCTTCTTTCCTTCTTGCTTCCTTGCTTTCCTCTAGAATCTAAAACAGTGAGTCCCCACAGAAGGATGCCTTTGTTCTTGTTGTAGTCCACAGCCTGGAACACCCCTCCCCTTTCCTCTTCCAGCCTCAATCCTACCATCCTTCCCGCTGAAGTCAAATGTCCTTTAAAGTCAAATAAGTGGCATTCCCCATCCAGTCAAGCTCTCTCCAAATTCCCATTTATTCCATTAAACTACATGGCTTGATATACCTACACAACGTCTCACGTTCTCTAGTTGTATAACGTACACGTATTGCGTTCCCCCAGCCAGGCTGCAAACATCTAGGGGCAGAGCCCATGCCTTATGTTTGGGAGTCCATCAGAACACAAGCACAGGTCTTTATTGCAACCTTCATTTGCCTTCCACTTCTCATTAAACATCAGAGAATTCATACTAGAGAAAACATTCCGAAGTGTATTTATTTGGGTGGAGTAACCATCGTATACACAGTCAGATAATTCCTAGTGGGAAGAGACCCTGTGTCTGGGTCTGTGCATGGGAGAGCCCTCGGGGGGGAGTCTGGAGACTTGGAAGCCAGGCCTTCCCAATATCCTGGAACTCCAAGACCAAGTGCGGCGGCTATGGGGAAATCTTCCTCACTCAAGATGATTACCCGGCGTCAGCAGCACCTTCGAGAGAAACTACCAGTCTGAAGCATGTAGGAAGCCACCTCTAAGATCTTCACCAGCACCAGAGAACCCGCCTGAGAGTGGCGCACAGTGCTAGATGCCAAGGACACCATTGGCTGCAAAGCAGACGCAGTTCCTGTCTCTGTGAAGCTTGTCTCTTGACCCCTCTCCCCATTGAAGAGCCAGACCCTTGGAGGGGAAGCATTTTAGACTGTGGGTACAATTGAAATATTAAAAACTTCGTTAAGTGCCTTTTCTTTTTTGAACTTGAAGCACTTCCATGTCGACTGCCTTTGTCCTTGACTCTTGCTAGAGAAGGGAAGGGATGGTTCACCCAAAACATGTTGTTGATGGAGAAACGGGGCTGGAGGGGCTGCACCTGGTCCAGGGCACACCGGCAGTCAGGATAAGAGCTCCAGGTGCTGAGGGAGGCCAAAGGTAAAAAGGGAGGTCCCATGCCCTGAAGTAGCTTACGGTCCAGGGAGGGGGCAGACAGGTCCGTAATACACAAGAGGTGCTGTAACAGGAGTGGATGCAAAATGCAACAGAGGTGTAGGAGTCCCTGAGTCCCTCTGGCTGAGACAGGAAAGGCTTCACCGAGGAGGTGCTGTTTGGGTTGAGATGTAAGGGATGAGGGGTTTGCCAAATAAACAGGTGAGGAGAGGGTGTAGCAGGTGGCAGAAACAGCACAGGCACAGTGTGGAGGTGAGAAAGGGCCTACTGAGGATACTGGAGAAGTTCATTATGTACAGCACGAGGGGAGTGAGGCCCATGATGCAGTGAGGCAGGGGACAGATCACACGAGGCCCTGAATGCTTTGCAGAGCGGTTCAGGTTTCGCAATGGGGAGATATTATCGTCTCCTACTGCTGCTATAACAAATTACCACAAATTGAGTGGCTTAAAACAACATAAATATATTATCTTATAGTTTGGGGCTAACATCAAGGTGTCGGCAGGGTTACTTCTGGCAGCTCTGAAATCAGTTCTTTGCCTATTCCAGCTCCTAGGGGCTGCCTCCATTCCTTGGCTCACGTCCTTCTCCCGTCTTCACCGCCAGCAATCTCATCGCCCCAACCTCTTCCAGAGTCACACCTCCTCTGACTCTAATGCTCCTGCCTCCCTCTTCTCAGGACACTTGTGATCACTGTGGGCCCACTAGATAATCCCAATAATCTCTACATCTCAAGATGTTTAACCTAATCACATCTGCAACATCCTTTTTGTCATGTAAAGCAATGTAGTCACAGGTTCAGGAGGTCAGGATATGTTCATCTTTGGGGGCCATTGTTCTGCTTACCACAGTAACCACTGAAGAATTATGGGCAGGAACTGAGTTGGGGTGTTGGGTGGTACAATACTGTGGTTAAAAGAGCAGGTTTTAGGAATCTGACTACCTGGGTTCAATCCTGACTCTGCCACTTAAGAGCTATATGACCTTGTATCATTTGCTAATTAATTTCTCTTTGCCTTGGTTTCTCCATCTGTAAAATAGGGATATATGCCTTAAAGGGTAGTTGAAAGGATTCTATGAGATACAATGAAAGGATTATATGGGTAGTTGAAAGGATTATATGGGATAAGAGAGATGAAACAGGACAGGAGAAAGCTCTCAATAAATTAGGAGCATCATGATGCAAACTAAGTGCCAACAATAGTGCCCTGGTCAGGACAAAGATGTTTGTGGTTAATGCTATGTTTAACAGAACCTAGCTTCCCAGGGGGCCGCCTGCTAGGGAAGGAGGTACCTGAGCATCAGGAGATTCTCTGGCACATAGGAAACATGCAGCCCCCCAGTGACACCACATTGCTCAGTGGTGCTTTCTCTCTGTTGGCATAAAGAAATGAGGGATAAAAGCTGCCCCTATCTGTTCCCATTTTATGGTGGGATTCTGTCTGGGTGTTGGATAAAATGAAAGAGTAGATTGGTATTTTGTTTTAAGTTTTCTTTTCTGAAATCTTTGAAACAACTGTTTAATTTTGACATGGGGCCATAAGACTTGGCAACACCTTACCCGTGTATCCAATGTGATGATGAGTATGCTTGTCAGAGTCACTGGGCACCTGCTTCTGGGTCCCTTGCTTCCCTAATACACCTTCAGACATCTTCTCTGTCCCCATTTCCTAGTGCTAATGAACCCAAAGCTATCAAGGTATCTCCCTCCCTCCTGTTGACTTTTTCTCTCGGAACTCCCAAGGAGTGGATCTGGATTTCCTAGCAGTTTACCTGCGAGTAAGGTTGCCAGATAAAATAGAGGACACCTTGTTAAATTTTGAATTTCAGAAAAACAGTGAGTAATTTTAGTTCAGGTTGAGTATCCCTTATCCAAAATACTTGGGAAGAGAAGTGTTTTGGATTTTGAATTTTTAGAGTAGGGATACTCAACCTGTATAAGTCCCAAATCTTACTATATGTTGAACACCACTTTGTTAACTGGATTATTTGATTAATGAGAAGACGCCATCCCCAAAAGTCACCATGTCATGTAACACTTTACCATACATTCTCTGATGTAATCTACAAGGTAGATTGTGATTCAAGCCCTGAAAGTTACAGTAGCTTCTCATAGAGGACTTTGTAGTGACACAGAGAAAAGAACACACATTGTGGTTCTAGAGGGATGGTGAGGGTCAGAATAATGGGGACTGGTCCCTTTTATTTCATGACACAGATTCTGCCCAACTTGATGCAGACAAGCTCAGTGCCTGCTGTAGATCTTACCTGCTCTTTATTAATGGAGAGTGTCATGCTTTCTCCCTCATGACCTAGGGACCACCAGGATACCCAATCTGTTGAAATCCATTGCAATTTGTCTAAAAAAGGTATTGTACAGTGCATGTTTTCTTTTGTTTTGGTTTTGGTTTTTTTTGGGGGGGTTGTGGTTGTTGTTGTTTGAGACAGGGTCTTGCTCTGTCACCTGGGCTAGAGTGCAGAAGCATCATCATAGCTCACCGCAACCTCAAACTCCTGGGTTCAAGAGATCCTTCTGCCCCAGCCCCTCAAGTAGCTGGGACTACAGGCATGTGCCACCACACTCAACTAATTTTTCTTTCTTTCTTTCTTTTTGTAGCAACAGGATCTTGCTTGTGTTCAAGCTGCTCTTGATCTCCTGGCCTCAGTGATCCTCTTGCCTTGGCCTCCCAAAGTGCTAGAATTACAGGCATGAGCCACTGCACTGGCCCATGCTCTTTGATACTTGACTGGAATAATAATGACGTCTCTCACTCACTGTGGGATGCAAACACAAAGTCTGTCCTTGGATCGGGTGCACATCATGTGTAGTAGTTGCTGTTCCAGTTGAATCTATAATGTTCAGGTTGAATCTGCAAGGCTGGTCACTATTGGCCCCAAGCTTTGCTCAAGGCTTTTGCTCCCAGGCTCCATTCCATGTGATTCCTCCAATCATAAAAACCCTCTTCTTTTTATTTCCTGGTCCTCTCAGATGGGACTTGAGTTTTCACATCCAAGTCGCACAGGCATCTTGTAGCGGCGATTTCTCTATTTCTATACTTACTGCATTTAGCAACATTTCAGAGACTCACAATAATGTAAAAGATGAAGACAATTTTATGAAGCCCCAAAGGAGCCCTGGATTTTGTCCCCATGTAAATGAACTAACCTGCCTCTCCAAGGGCAGCAGGCCTAGGGGACGGGGGACAGAATGCCAGTGTGGTACTCAAGTGCACAAGGATTGTCTGTGTCTTTTTGCACCCACATTTACCTTTCTTTTTTTTTTTTTTTTTTTTTTTTTTTTTTTTAGCTTTTTAGGAAAAGGTAGCCCCTGAGGGGCCAGGGAATTAATGACTTAATGCTTACAATCTCTAGGAAGAATCTGCTCCAGATAAGGTCTCATTATCGTTAATTGTTATTATTGTTGTTATTGTTATTAACCAACTCTTATGAAAAGCTTTGTTAACAACCTCAGGTGAGGGGTTTAATTAATACCTTCTCTGAATGCCAAGGCCTCAGGCACCTTGTCACCGCCCCCACATAGGGGCTCCACCTCCTCTGAACGCCCTCAGGGTCCCCTCCACCCCCAGGTCCTCCCAGCCCCCACCCTAGGGGCTCCATCATTCTCACTCCTGCCAACTGCTTCCCTCCCCCGCAATCTCACCTCCTTTTCACCTTCCCTTCCCTTTTCTGCAGTTACCTAATCGCCCCAAACAGTTCTCAAGAGCCAAGCCTTTTGGGGGTCATGAAAGTAAAGAGAGGGTCCCCTGAGCTCTGCCCTTCCCCCTAGCAGCCCCCTCTTCCTGCACTACTTCCCAGCACTCCCATCCCATCTCCCAGGGGAACTTAGGGACTGTTCCTCAGGTGGCGGGGCTGGATGGGTGGGTTGGCTGGTTTAGGATTACAGAGTTTGGCACTAACTCCCAGCCCCTTGCAGCTGCCTTCTTTAATTAATTAACTCCAATTTTTAAAAAACCATCTCAATTGAACCTCAGTGCATGCCTCTGGGGCATATGTCACATCAATTAGAGATAACAATTAAGTGTGCAGCCCAAAAGAACCTGTGAGTCTCTTTAAAGACTCAAACACCATTCAGGCTTAACTGCCTTAGAACACCCTCCTGAGACAGACCCTGAGGCAGAACCCCCAAGGGAGGAATTGGGCAGCAACTGGTTCCCTAGAGACAGGAAGACAGGAGGATATTCTCCTGCACTCAGCTGCCTACACCTCCCTATTCCAGGGTTCCCTCTGTTTAGATATCCATGAAGCTAAGCTATTGCAGGTGGGGTGGTGGCCTCACTTCACTAGGATAGGACTAATCTCTCTCAAATTCAAAAGTCCACCTCTTCATTATCCTACCTGGCCATCCTGCCTGGATAAGGATGCATCTCAGGCCCTCTAACAGTAGGATAGGTGTTAAGCTAGTAGAGACTGTAGAGATGGTATATGCAGGGTTAACTGATGTTTCCATCTTAGTGGTTAACGGTTGAAGATGTTGCTCGAGGGCAGAGATGGTTTCTTGATAGTCCTTGCTTCCTACCTCTTATTACACTTGGTAGATGCTCAGGGAAGGCTTACAGAATGTCAAAGGCAAGGAGGGGAACTGGTGTGCAGCACAGTTCCAAATATTTTTCCATGTGCAAAGCAAGTAGGCAGAGATGGGACCTACCCAAAACCTTAGTCTTATTAACTCTGTCCTCTCTACTCAACTGGAATTAAAAAAACATTTATAGACCAGGTAAACATGCCTTTCCTTATCTATTTGATTCATTTATTTATTGCGTATGTGAGTTGACAGTAAATCACTTTGTTCTTTTATGTTTACCAGAATCGTGGCTGTTCAAGTGAGCCCAAACTTTCAGAGGGCAGAGACCACATCGATTTAATTTGCTTTTTATGGTATCAAGTAAAGGGCTGCACTGTGGGGTCATAGAGAAGTCCTAGACTTGGACTCTGGAGACCCAGGTTGTAGTTTTGGCTGTGTGACCCTTAAAATCTAGGCCTCATTTTTATTTGTTGTTAAAAATATAGCGGGAACAACATTTCCTATTTTATTTATTTATTTTTTTTGAGATAGAGTCTCATTCTGTCACCTGGGCTAGAGTGCTGTGGCGTCAGCCTAGCTCACAGCAACCTCAAACTCCTGAGCTCAAGCGATCCTCCTGCCTCAGCCTCCCAGGTAGCTGGGACTACAGGCACATACCACCGTGCCCAGCTAATTATTTCTATGTTTTAGTAAAGATGGGGTTAGAGGACAGCAGAGGAACTGGAATCTCCAGAAAGGAACCTTGCTAGCCCTGAGGCCCAAGGCCTTCCAAAGCAATGGTCACCAAAGTTTCAGATACATAAAAGAGAGAGAGAGGAAAAAAAAAAAAAAAAATTGAAGGAAATGCAGAAGTAGAACTGAATATTAGAATTATTGTCCATCACATGTCCAGGGCACCTGTTTTTATTCCACAAGAATATGTGGCGATTTTTTAGAGATGGCCTATCAAATTCTCAGAAAGACCCAGCACCCTGAGAGTCAGGGAGCCTGGGTCCTGGTTAGGCTCCATTATTCACTGGGATGGGTGACTTTCGCTAAACCACTAAACATTCCTTGGCCTGAATTTCCTTTGCTGAGAATAATACCAGTCCTGTCTGCCTCGCAAGGTTGTTGGAAGATCTGATGAGATAATAAACATAACCTCCCTGCAAAAACTATAAAGCACTCTTCACATGGAAGGGCATATTATTACCATTCTAATTACTACAAGCCCTTCAGAGAATCAGCCTGTCGGTGGAGAGTCACAGATATTTGGGAGGTCACCTCATTCTTTAGCCATCACCCTGCACACCCCTCTTCCAAGCTGTGAGGCTCTGACTAGTAGAGGGTGGGGAATGGATCAAGTGTCCAAAGAGGCAAAGCAAGACATTTATCTCGGCCAGACGTTCTGGACTCACCAGTCTCTACCAATGCCAAGGTCTGCCTTCCACTGAATCTAAGTCTCTCCTTTTATTACTTATGCTTATTTCCTCCTCTTCTGCCTGAGGATTTCTCTACCTGCTGAAATAGGATATCACTTTTAGTGTTTATCCACTGAAAACACCCATCATTGAAGAACAGGACCTAGAGTTGCCAAAATTATGATCCCTGGAGTCTGGAGTCCAAGTGTCATAAAAGCCAAGCATCTGTTTCTGGAAAGGGCCAAGGACAGAGTCAACTCTTGGGCCCCTTTATTTATAAAGTTTCAATCTCTTCCCTAACCTTGTCTCAGACTCAAGTCATTTTACTCCTTGCAGCATTTTTTTTTTTTTTTGGAGTGGTAGTGCTTGTCTTAGTCTGTTTTGTGTTGCTATAGCAGAATCCTACAGACTGGGTAATTTATAAAGAAAAGAAATTTATTTCTCACAGTTCTGGAGGCTGGGAAGTTGAATATGCAAGTGCGGGCATCAGGGGTGGGCCTTCTTTCTGCATCATGCCACAGCAGAAGGCAGAACAGCAAGAGAGTGTGTGAGAGAGAGCAGCAGAGCAACTGCAGCAGAGCCCAACTTGATATTATAACAGGCCCAATCTTGAGATAACTAACCCACTGCCTATAGAACATTGGTCCACTCTTGAGGGCAGATCCTCTTATAAGGCCCTACCTCCCAACACTGTTGCATTGGGGATTACATTTCCAACATAGGAACTTAGGGGGACACGTTCAAACCACAGCAGTTGCCTAAGGAGGGGTGAACCCACCTAGGTCAGAAATGGAACAGGTCAAAACTCCCATGCTAATCGGTAGTGGGACAGCGCCTGTGAACAGCCACTGCACTCCAGCCTGGGCAACACAATGAGATCCTGTCCCTTAAAAAAAAAAATAAGATTTGAACAACTTCCAGGAAGTTTGGTTTATGGTGGGAAAGAGTCAGCCTGCCCCTCAGAGTTGCTGCCTTGGGTCTTTTCCATCCTAGGCCCTCACCTTGCCAACTTCATTTCCTCTCCCCGTGCCCTAAGTGTTCAATTATGGACACTCTCTTGGCTCTGAAATTGGATAAATACTACATTGTTAGCTAATAGTACCATTAATTATATTAATGATTAATAGCTAATTAGTCATAATGCTGTAATGCTTACAAGTGAGGCTTCCTTTCTTGCAGCAACTCTAGGTCTAAGCACACACAACACATGCTCTTCCTTATTCCTGGCCACAGGACAAGCGCAGCTCTGAATCTGTTTTTCTGACTACCCTGGCAATCTCCAAATTGCCCCAGTTATTAGGCGTCCCATTCATATATGGTGAATAGCCACTACTGCTTATGTGTTGCCTCTTCTACTTCCTTCCACTGTCACTCACACTAGATCCTCCAGTAGTAACAAGGAGGTCAGCAGTCGTCAAGTTTTTTAAAAAACTTTAGACCATAAACCAAAGGCTCTTTCCCTTCCAAATGTCATTTCGACCCACTTTTTCACTTTCACCCCTTTGCTTCACTTCACCTTTCCCTCATCCTAAGCCGCCCCCTAGTTCGTGGAATCCCACCACACTCCCAGTCTACAGCCCCCTCCCACTCCCCGTTTAGGCTTCCTTTCAGCAACCACGCCCCCCGACTCCAGGAGAGCGGCACGCATGCGCAGCTCGCGCATTTACCTGGGCGCTCGGAGTGGGCGGGGTGGGAGAGGGCGTGGGTGGAGCTGGGAGCCGACGGTTATCTGGGTGGCGGAGCGCTCACAATGTGGCAGCAGGGAGAAAAGGTGCGCCAGGCCCGGCCCGAGGGCCGCGCATGCGCGCCGCCGCTCCCAGCGGCCGGGATGCCGGGAGGGGGGGCGAGGGGGGGCGGGCGGAGGGAGGTTTCGGGATCCCTGTTGGGCGGGGGCGCCGGCGAGGGAAGGGGCCGCGGGCGCGCGCGCGCGCCCTCGCCTCCCTCCCTGCCCCCCTCTCGGCACACACATCCACACACGCACACCCCCTCCCCTGCCTCCCTCCCCGCGCGCCGCCCGCCCCGCCGGCCCCGCTCGCCCTCGCGCGCTCGGAAGGGAGTCGCGAGACGTCGGAGCGGCGGCCACGTAGCGCTGCGGCGGCGGCGGCGGCGGCCGAGGCCGGGTCTGAGGAGCGGCCCTGAGGACAGACGTTGGGCAGGGGGGAGGGGCCGCCCGGCCGGCGGTTGTTACTCGAGCGCCGCGGCTACAGGCCCCCCGCCGCAGGGATGGACCGCCGAGGCGGCGGTCGAGGCGGCGGCGGCGGAGGCGGCCGGCCCGGGTGAGTAGGGGCCCCTTCCCCCACGCACACGCCACCGTCGCGGCGGCCCCCTGGCAGCAGCTCTTCCTCTGCACCGCCCGCCGGCCGGCCCGGGCTCCGGGGGCCGGCTTAACCCTTCGCCGAGGCAGCTGCGTGCACTAGGCCGGAGCAGCCCCCATCCGGCGGGGAGGCCCTGGGCGCAGCGCTCATCTGGCACCGAGCTTGGGCCGGGGGCACCCCGCTTCTGCCCTTTCGCTCGCTCCCTCCCGGACCCGGCCTGGGCTGCAGTTTTGCCGCGAATCCGCTCGCCCTGAGGCCTGAGGGGAGGTTGGGGCGGCACGATTAGCGGGCCGAGGGGAGGTTTGCACCGGTCCTCCTGCGAGCGTTCGCCTGCCCTGCAGCTGGTGGCTTGCACCCACTGCCTCCCCCGCCCTGCGGTTGCGCCCAAACCTCCAACCCGGGAGTATTGTGCCGCCTGGAGATAAAACGCATCTGATGTACACCCGCCACCAGCAGCCCCACACTCACCCCAGTGGGTAATGCAGACCTTTCTCCACCCCCACCGCCTCCTCCCCTCCAATCAGGCTCAGCTGAAGATTCTTAGATCGGAGACACCGAAGGTACACCCCCGTTACATCTCCCCGTAACATGTTCATTGTCGAGAGATGTCTCCTATAGAAATGATAAATGCCCCTGCCTCACCTCGAAGTCCGTCTTCATGATTTAAGATCCCATATGCTGCTCTGCTTTGAAGAGGTCCAGCTTTGATCACATCTAGTGTGTTCCCCCACAACACACACACACACACACACACACACACACACACACACACTTCCTGATTGCTGTGCAGCCCCTGTCACCGCGGATCCATTGTCAGAAATGGCTTGTGCCAATCAAAGGAATGTGCTTTTTGCCTTTGGAGAAGGGTGCTTTCCACAACCATGTTCTCAGGATATTCTTCCGTGAGTCTGCCTTTGATTGTCCCCGTGTTCAAGCATCATTATCACAGCCTTTCCCTTATGTGCATTTCCCGTGGACCCTCAGTAACACCTGAGTGATGCTTTTTCCCCCAGTTAATTAGATGCGTATGGTGTGTGGGAATGTCATCTGTTTTGTTGTAATGTTTAACATCTGTTATCAAGGCGTAATATATAAATAGTATTTTGGGAAGAATGTATATTTTTTTCAAGAGGATAGCCAGGCCCGTATTGTTCTGGGAATGGCAACTACGGTAGCACATGCTTTGTTGACAACCTGTGTATGCTTAAGGAATGAAGGGCTGCTGTTGCTGGGGTGTGTGGTGTCTGAGCCGAATGCAGGTGATGTTCCCAATTGGGGCTGTTTTGTGAGCGCTGCATGGCACTGTGATTGTCAGTGCTGGCAGGCAGTTTGGTTCTTTTTATCACTCCTGTGCACATGTGTTCAGATCGATACTATCTTTAGTATAATTTTGTTTAAAACGTTCACCACTAAGTTTTAGTGATACTGGAAATGTCTCCTTCTGTGGTTCCTAACCTTTCTTTCCCGTAGTGGAAGCCATTAGGGCCCTCTTAGTGAAGTAGGCACATAATTTTGCTTGCAACTAGAGTCAACTTGAAGCTGGTCCTAGGACCTCAGGTTAAGATCTGTATTGTGCAAAAGTGAAAGGAACTCGAGTTTCTTTTTTTTCTTAAGAGTTAGAGTTACTTTGGCCCTGAGCAGTAAACAGCGAAGTAGCTTCAGTATGTAACCTTGTGTTTTGTATTTTGATTAGGGTGAGTTAGTTATTTGTAAAGTATCATTTCCCTGTCTTCCTGTGAAGAGGAGATGTATGTGTCTTTCAGAAAAAGTTAAAACTAAGTCAAAATAACTTGTTCAAATTTGACCAATTGATAATGTGTGTTCCTGGCACTATATTCTAAATGTAGCAAATTTCAATGGCAAAGTCTGAGGTCTATTTTATAATGCCTGTACAGAATCTCTATATGTTGGTTGAAGTTGATGTGATCACTTAAGGCGTTATAATTCCCATAGTGGTGTACCTGCCCTGTGACAAAGATTTTTTAAACTTTATTAAATACAATTTCATGTCTTTATTAATGGTGATGGCACCATCAAAAGCATCCATTTAAAATTTTTGTTTTAATGGAATGATTTTAATTGTAGTTAGGGAATTCAGTCTCCACATTTAGAATCTAGAACTGAGAATGAACTTTGCATTCTATCAATAAGCAGATGGTAAATATCAGCTATTTTTGTTTAAATTACTCTGTACCCATCTTTTGCTTTTTGATCATATTTCAATCAAGAGACATTTATTCCAGCTTGTGATAATGTTGTGATGGGCAGTGACATTAAGTACAATTCTGACAATGTTTTTCACTTAAAGAATCCTTTGAGACTTTCATATATTTTGCATTTTTGGGATTCCAATAGGCTAAAGAATTTATGGTATTAACTGGCAGTTTGGAAGATACGGGAGCCTTGGAATCTTGCATTGAACCTGTTCCATACACCTGAAGAATAGTATTTATTCTAATAATTATTCAGTGTACCTTATGAATTTTGAAAGCATGCTGAGGTTGCAAATATTACATTTTTTATTATCTAATAAACATGCTTGAAGTGGCTTATGCCACAGGTTTTATTTTTTGTTCACGTCATGCCTAAAGTTTTACTATAGGAAATTATTTGCCTATCCTAAACCCAAACCAATTCAAAGTTGCAAATATGTTACTTTTCTTTGTTAACATTGTATAATGACAGACCATTAAAATCTTGGGGCGGTGTGTTTCCTTGGTTTAGTATTGCAGAACCTCTTCTAACCAGTCACTTACCTAGTTAAACACCCAAACACCATAGAGCAGCTGATCGTATAACTCATATGGCTGTGAGAACAGTATTCTCTCCCTGCCAGATTCAGAACTTGGAAGCTGGAAAACAATTGCATAGCAGTGAAACACTTAAGGAGTAGTGGTGCCAGGAGCTCACTCTCATTAATATAAACAGCTTGCTTTAGTTTCTTCAACACTCTTCTTCAGACACCCTTCCCTTAGGAGGTTTCAGATCAGCAGCTCCTACTCAAGGGAAACAGCACCTACTTTCTGCAACTGTGGCCTCAAGATCTGATTCGTGACACCCAGAGCTGTTACCATTTCTGCTCTAAGTATGGGAAGTAATCTTATAGTGTGGTAAGAAAATACTTTTCAAGTCTGTAGAAAAAAAAAAGTTGATTAGTAATGCTACTGATGTGATTTTGTTTTTGAATGTCTGAAGCCTGGTGCAGAAGTAAGCTATGACATAAAATGTTTTTTTAAAAAGTTACCCTTTTTTCAAGGGTTTTAGATAATTTTACCAAATTTGTGAATATACTCTTTAGTTTCATTTCCCTTGTTCTAAAAAGTCAGTTGAGGCTAGGGCATGGTGGCTCACGCCTTAATCCTAGCACTCTGGAAGGCCGGGACGGGTGGATCGTTTGAGCTCAGGAGTTCAAGACCAGCCTGAGCGAGACCCTGTCTCTACTCAAATTAGAAAGAAATTACTTGGACAGATAAAAATATATAGAAAAAATTAGCCGGACGTGGTGGTGCATGCCTGTAGTCCCAGCTACTCAGGAGGCTGAGACAGAAGGATCGCTTGAGCCCAGGAGTTTGAGGTTGCTGTGAGCTAGGCTGACTCCACGGCACTCTAGCCTGGGCAACAAAGTGAGACTCTGTCTCTAGATAGATAGATAGATAGAGTCAGTTGAGAAACAGCAAAATAAATAAAAGTGGATTGTCTTGTATTTTGAACCATAGCCTTAAAATTGGTTATTCTAAAGGAGGTGATTGCATCTCCTCATTGGGAACTCTTGCGTCTTGTGCTGCCATTTTAGGTATGATATTTTTCTCAGCTGTTGTCATCGTTTCAAATAATTAGCACTTGAATTCACTTTGGTAGAGTTGAACTGGTGTTGCAGTTAGTGACTTTTGCTAGAGAAGGATCAGGGAGATGGTTCTTTGGAGCCAGGCAGAACTAGGTTTAAACCCCAGTTTTGCCATTTACTGGCTTTATGGCATCAAGCAAGTTACCTTGACTTCTCTGGCCTCAGTTTCCTCATCAACATAATGGGATTTGCTATGAAGATTAGAGATAACATATGCAAGATCCTAGTACAGTTCCTGGCATATGATCATACTAGGGATTCAATAAATGGTAGGATACAGGGCATGTCAGAGTGAAACTACAAATCATTTAGGCTTATGAGGAGATTTAGAGGTCTGGCACTGAGATCTGCATTTTTTTCATTTGTGCAGATTTGGGATGAAAAAATTACAAATATTTGACTTGGAGTATACCTAAGTCTTGCAGGTGCAGTGTACTTATTGGAACTTTCATTTGTTGCTCTATGGCTGGCTGAACTTGGGGAAGATAATAAAACCTAGTTCCAAATTCTACAATGTTACCCATAGGCTGTGCTTGTTTTAAGTTTATTCAGAGCTTATATGGTGAAAGGGGTGTTTTTGGACATTAATGTGTCTCAATGAGTTCTATGTCCAGAGTTGAATCACATGCAAAGCTTTGTATAAATTTTCATGGTTAATGCAAACCATAAAGTGCTTGGTAGAATCAGTAGGGAGACATCAGTTGCTTATTTTAGTTAATCTATTTGTTTATATAGCAGTTATGTTTGATTTTTAAAAATACTTATGAATATTTTCTCTTATAAAATTCCCATTGCTCTTCTGAAGTTTTGATCATAAACTGCTATTGGGTCTATAGGTTTGAGTGCCTTATGCAATTTTACTTTGGTAGGGGAAGGAAGAAAAAATATAAGGCCTCTACCTGTCAAATTTTATGAACTCTCTGCTTTAGTCCTATAGATTGGGTATGTTCTATTCCTCATTTTTTAGCCATAAAGGCAGTTTTATGGTAAAATATAACATTCCCTTTTTAAAACATAGTTCAAGAGATTGATTACTTTGAAGAGTAGATTCAATCAAGGCCATGTATACAGTTTTATTCAGTGCATACAGCTTTTAAAATAGGATTTCTTGGATGACTATGGAATTAAATTATTCTGTCATTTTTGCAGGATAGCATTGTGATAAAGTCTGTGAACCTATAAGAGCTACCTAGAGACTTTTCAGATAAGGTAGACACATCAGTAATGCATTAGGATTTACCTAAAGGGAATCTGCTAATCCTTATTTTCTTTTATTATTGAGCTACCTACAGGGCTTGCCCATCAGTAGAATCAGTCACTAGTATTGGATTGCTGATAAAGAGAGATTGCCAAAAATAATGGTCTTTGACTTGTCTTAGATTTTGCAATACACTTTATTTATTTATTTATTTTTTTAGTTGACCATCTTCACTGTGGAGCAATACACTTTAAAAAACTTAATCTTGGCCGGGCGCTGTGGCTCACGCCTGTAATCCTAGCTCTTGGGAGGCCGAGGCGGGCGGATTGCTCAAGGTCAGGAGTTCAAAACCAGCCTAAAAGAAGAGATTCTCTACTAAAAATAAATAGAAAAATTAATTGGCCAACTAAACAAATATATATATTAAAAAATTAGCCGGGCATGGTGGTGCATGCTTGTAGTTCCAGCTACTCAGGAGGCTGAGGCAGGAGGATCACTTGAGCCCAGGAGTTTGAAGTTGCTGTGAGCTAGACTGATGCCATAGCTCAGGCAGAGTGAGACTCTGTCTCAAAAAAAAGGAAAAAAGCTTTAGTTGACAAATCATCTTGGTTTAAAAATAAACCTATTTTTGGAAAAACAAGCACCACATATACTCACCAGCAAATTGGTATTAACTGAACAG